AAACGGTAACTGTAACGGAATACAGTTACTCATATTTTGTATTTTAAATACGTAACGGCGGTACATGTATTCCGTTACTCCCCAACACTGAGGATGACATATATATATAGGAAACAGATTGGTGTCCAAGGACTGAGCCTTGAGGGACTCCACAAAGGAGAAGTCATATTTGTTTAAATATAAATTCTGAACTGTCTGTCAGATAAGTACGATGGAAACTATTTAAGAGCCAGAGACGCCTGGGACTTAACTTTTTAGTACCTCTAGTCCTCTGCACACGACACTGTATACAGCAATAAGGTACAGCTTGTAAGCATTCAATTTTATGTTATGAAGGATTTCTGGTAGTCGCCACCTTCTTCTCTGTGAGTGGCTCATGTGGTGCAGCTGGATGTTTAGTAGGTGGGAGAATGAACAAACATCCCTTTTTATCCTCTTCCCACACCGTAGTAATTATACTGTCAGCCCTGAACGTCAGGCAACACAGAGGGCGACACAATAAGAACAGTGGCAGAGGGGCGTTGAGGCCTTCTCTTGGCGGTAAGCCTGTAATTTTGCATCTCAAATAATCATGTAAGCAGAGCCAAGTTGTTCTGCAGTGGTACCAACTCCACCACACCAATAATATGATGCAATAAGCAGGTGCTGACATTTCGTTTTTAGGGCAGGGATGCAAGAGAACAAGACAATGGAGAACAGGAGATTTTTAAAAATGATGATGGAGTCTGTCTGTATATTTGATGGTTCAACTAATCTCACACAAGTCTCATCTATTTAGGAAAAGTCTGCTTCTAAATGCAGTGAATGAGGCTGATGTCGGAGTAATAGAGCTAAAATTTAAACCAAGCTGCAAAAGGAGGGTGATTAAGATCTGCAAACATTCATGCAGGCAGCACACAGCACATCATTGTCTTGTTTTGATTGTCTCAAGATATTTAGACTGAAAAAGAGAAGAATTATGTATGAAGTGAAGAGAAATGGGATTAAAGTGTAATTCCAGTGAAGATTGATAATATAGCAGACATGTCTACACAGCACCTTCAGCGCCCCTTTCTTAAGGTAATGCAAAGGTTACAAATCATGCAGTAAATTTCATTTTCTTTTACATTTCCTTGTGTTTTTTGTAATCAGTGAAGTTAAAATGATATTTTTTTGTGGGGGGGCTTTATAAATTATTACACTGGGTTTTAAACCACATACATTTACGCGATAGAATTAAACACATGACAACACCCATTCATTTTAATTCTGAATTTTGAAGCCCCAACGTTAGCATTTTGACCTCCCCACATGTTGCTTTATTGGAGCAAATGGGACAAATAATGGGACAAGGGGTTCGATTACTATGTTAAATTGGGAGACAGCTAGCAGGCTTGATTAGCTAGCTATATCCAAAAACTGTAGAGTGTTTATTACACAGACACAAACTGCTTATTAGAGATGAGTTACAGACTAACACAATACCAGACTTTCACTCAGCAAAACTGAAACTAAAACTTGTTGGACAGTCTACAAGGCATTGCCACAGTGGGTCGCTCCACATGTTGGATTTAGGAGGATTTTACAAAGGATGCTTTTCCTGATAATTTCATTAAGAAGGGCTACAAAAATAAAGGTTGCTCGGTCCATTTCAGTGACTCTATGGAGTGAAGTGTTTGCTCCGAAGAATTATTAGTTTTTTTATAATGACATGGGGGTAAGGTCAAAAGTGTTTTTATGAAAATCTATTAACCGGGTGAGTTGCAAAGTGAATTGGAGCTATGATCACATCAGATAAATATCCTAAGAAACTGACGAGGTTAGAAATAAGCATTTAAAAGTTTGCCTTCTTCAGAGGATCTCCTTGCAGACTTTTAGCACTCTAGTTGTCAATGCAATACGTCCCTTTTCACTGTTGACAATGAGACTGTGGCTTCATGGATACGTTGCCATATGTTAATGATGTTGCCAGTTGAGAACCTGTAAAGGATTCATGCTTAGTTCTGTCTCCTACTTCTCTTTCTACGTTGGTTAAAGGCATTTAGCTTCTAAGAAGGGAATAGTATAAAGTAGTATCATAAAACTTTTATGTTTTAGCTCATGTCCGCTGAGTTATATCCTTTGTTTCTTTTAAACAAATGAAGATGACTCTGTTTTTGTAATTGCTCACGCTCCGGACATTCAGCTAGCCTGACGACTTCTTTAATCAGCAGAACAGTTCTCAGCTGTGCTAACATAATTGTAAAAGGGTTTTTCTAATGATCGATCAGCCTTTTACCCTGATAAACTTGCATTAGGTTACACAATGTTCCACCGGATTTTCAGCAACCAAAAACTCCATGGCTGCTGTACATTTGTGCCAATATTCCATTAAAAATGATCATAATAATAATGGATTGCATTAATATAGCGCTTTTCGGGGCCCTCAAAGCGCTTTTACAACTCCACTATTCATTCACACACTGGTGGAAGCGAGGCTGCCATATTGCGCCATCGGCCCCTCTGGCCATCACCAGTAGGCAGTAGGTGAAGTGTCTTGCCCAAGGACTGTCTGAGCCAGGGCTCGAACTGGCAACCTTCCGGTTACAAGACGAACTGCCAACTCTTTGAGCCACGATCGCCCAGTGAGCAATGATTAAAGGTGACTGAATGCATCTGTATTTAACTGTTGAAAAATTAATGAAATAAAAACATGAAAACATTAAAAGCAAGATCATTTCTTAGTGACCCCAAACAGTTTGTGACAGTGCATATGAGATGAAAACAAAGTGAAATTGATAATTCAAGCAGAATCACCATTCAGGTGCTCAGTTTTTAGGAAACTTGGACAGACATTTTTACATTCCAGAGAGGTTCTGTGAATTTAGCCTGCGTCAGTGTCATCTTTATCTTCATGTAACGCGGGGCTGTGTGATGTTTAGCTCAATCGGTTACGAATTGTCACAGAACTCCCCGTTTGCTCCAGCTGTATGTAAGCGGCATAATATTGTGAGTATTCAGAGATTTTCCAGATAAGGTTGGAATCTTAAAATGCAAAGCAGCTCTTTTATAATGTGTGCAAATGGAAACTTACTGTTATTTAGGAGGAAAACATGGTTTGTTTTATGATTATATTAATATTTGATAAGTTAGAATCAAATTTCTGCAGGTCTCTTGCAGCTCACAGCTGGCCCTGTTATGTATGCAACAGTGAGGTCACAGTACTCTTCAAAGGTTGTCTCTGGCACCATCTGGTGGTCAGTGAAAAATGAAAATTACTGCTACTTTTCAGTCATAATTTGAGCAGAAAGGTGCTACTCATTTTTTATTAGCGTAAAATCCTGCTGAGGGGAATGAAAACAAACAAGAAGAACTCAGAGTGAGTGTGGACACTGGCTGCTAAGCTGGAGATCAGCAGAGATCACTGTGCCTTATTGTGACCCTAATCTGTGTAATGACATTAAGGCTGCTAAAATCCATTGGAACTATAGTGGCACTGCCTTCACCCGGGTGGCACGCTCCAACGAAGCAGGGACAACAAGAACGCTCCTCTCTGCGAGATATGATTCAACTAAAGTTCAAGCAAGAGATGTTTGCTAAACCTGTGAGTATCCTTACACTGATTCTCATCAGTGACTTGTTATCTATGAGAAAGTCAACGTGCATGTGCAGATGTAGTCATGTATTACAGTTATGTCTTAGATCACCTTCTAATAATGCATAAATAATAAGCTTTACAGTAACTGTCCAGATGAAACAACTTAAAGGAAAAAAAAACTGAAAGTAGACCAATCAACTAAGTTTCATTTGATCAGATTTCATTAAATTGAACATTTTACATGGAAAAATTATATGTCATTGAATTAGTTAAAGTAAGCCTTTTTGTTTCTTTTGAGTGTAGTTGGTCGACCAGGCACTGAAAAACAGACACTGTTTATTTCCAGTATAATCTGATGCTTCTCATTCTATGTTTCTTTAATTCATTAATAAATTGAAAAAAAAAAATCCCAAGCTAAGACGTGTGAACTGTACTAGCTTATTTATTTTTGGTGTGCAGTAATAACCCAGCAGCATAAGCGTGTGATGTGAGTGTAATAAACCTTTAAACAGCCTTGGCTTAGGAACGAGGAACTTTTGAAGTTAAGAGTGAAAACAATATTTATCTTACTGGATGTGTTGAGAGACAGATTTGTCTGTTGCATTTATTTAATTTAGTTATATGTGCAGATATGATCAAAGTAAAGTCATCAACAGTTCTTCTGACAGAACTGATATTTAAAATTTATTAACTGAGATATTTTTAGGTTGGATTGAGCTTCTGTCATATAAAGAGCAATTTTCCCTTCATGTGTTAAAAAAATATTTTAATAAGACTCACTGTACACAGTAAAACTGGATATAAAAAAACTGGATAGATCTAAAGACGGAATCATTCCGTGTATCACAAACTTTCTGATTTTCCATCTGAATATTCATCTCACGGCCTTTTCTTGTTCTCCCAGACTTCAGGCTTGTGGCCACTGTTCTAAAGGACACTGTGCAGCACTTGAAAAACAAATGTGTTAACATTTCATTACATTTCCATGCTGATCACAGTGACAGCACCATTAAGTGTATTTATGACCATAGCCAACGCTCACTGCAAAGTAGGGATCTGTATTGATGACTTTCTAAATTTAAAACAGCCAATGCTGTAAGTAAGCAAATAGTTCCTCAGTTTATTATAGATGTTCAAGTTGGCAGTTGTAAATATTAATCAGTCGTTAATAAATGGATCCAAATCCAGGTGTTCAGTTATTTTCCAGAATGACTTGAGTCTAACAGTTCCTCGAAACAGCCATCCTAATGAGCTTTTAAGAGCTACAGAGATACCTGGCTCTCCCAGTTACTGCCCATATTAACAATAACGAGCATCCTAACATCCACCGAGACATCAGAGACCCGGTTGGAGTTAGAACGTGTTTCAGCCACATACCAAACAAGCATATTTTGTGATTTTCTTCTTACAAAACAGCTGAAAATTCAGTTAAAAGAAGGGTATGGGTTAGCCTAACTCAAACAGGTCACTGCGGAAATGATTTATCATCCTTAGAGTAATGCAACTGCCATCAAACGACTTCTTAAAAAGTTGTTTTTCAAAATTATAACTGGTAGAAGTCGCAATATTTTTTATTGTATGATTCATCTGAGTCAATAACGTGTCTTTTGTTCATGGTGTTTTGCAGCAAGAAGAAATGTTGACTATTCAAGCTAAAAATACCACGTTGCATCGGAATGGTCAAAACTTGAGACCAGCTGCTAAAAAGGGCCCCAACTCCAAGGCACCTGGCCATGAAAGGGAGGCAGCGGGTCACCTTGTGACCTCCTTGCCTACCGAGGAAGGCTTGCCACAGCTGGACTTGTTAGCTCTCAAGTCTCCGAAGCCTGACGTAGAAAACCAGACTGAGATTCAAGCCCTCAGACGACCCCTGAAACTTGCCCCGCTGGAGCTACCAGAGAAGGTGAAGGAGGCTCAGAAGGAAAAGCTTAAGTTTATCCACCAAGAACCCAACCCAGCCTCTTATAAGCTGGATGGGACCAATACGAGGAAGGTAAAATCATGCATGAGGCAAAGACTGGTAAAAGCAGAGGCATTTCCTTCTGCTTCCATTGCACCAGTCAAAGCCCAGCAGCAAAATCAATCAGCAAGGACACAGCTGACGCGCGCCAACCCCATAGAGCAGAATGGACACAAGCATCTGGAGGATGTGGTGTGTCGAGGTACCCCAGCTCCTCTGTGCAGCAAACCTAACCCTCCCTCATTTTTCCCTCAAATTAAAGCTCAGGCTGCATGTGGCAGAGAGGTGGCGTGCCACAGCCCTGGCAACTTCCAGGAGGAGACAGGTTGGAGGCGGCTGAGGCTGACTAGAGCACAATGCCTAGAAGAGGATCAGTGCAATTCAAACACGTCAACACTAGGATTATCAGCAGATGAGCGCAAGCTGGTCCAAGGTGTCCAAGGCAAAGGGCGGCGGGGAGAGAGGCTTCTTCGAGGACAGCCACATGTTGGGAAAGGCATCAAACAGCCGCCTTCACCTGTGGCCTCCTGGGAGAACGGAAGTGCCAGGAAGAGCCACGAGGAGGATGGCAGTAAGCAATCTGCAAGCTGCACTCTGAACCGACAGTCAGCTGAAGGTGGAAGCAGAGAACAGGAACTTGATAGTCTGAAGCCAAGTGCTGCTAACTGCAGATTAATGAGGAAAAAAGCCTTGATCGCAAAGCATAACAATGCAGTCCCTCTGGAATGTCTCTAATAAAATAGGATGATGTCATCATAAAGCACACACATGCAGAGAACTGGTATAGACCGGAATGTACTCCAACTGGAAACCTGATTTCTAGTATTTTAAGCAGAAATGTACAACATAATGATTACTCTTCGGCAGTGCTTATTTATTTATTTTTAATTAACTCAAATGTCTCCAGTGTGAAAATAGCTGCTTATGAAACCTCAGAGGTGTATTGTACATGCTGTTGGCACAAAGATTTTCTTGTGGCCCAAGAACAGAAAATGCAATGAAAAAACCTGGTTTATGATCAGATGTGTAGATAGGTGGGGAGCGCATTTGTTTTGTTAAATTATCATTCTTTCTGATTTGTTAAAGCAATTCTGCTTTTCTAAGCAGAATTAATTCAACCTACCGGCAGCTACAGGAGTTTCTGAATGCCAGCTGAGTTGTTTGTTGTTGTTCGATCACACTCTTTAATGTGGCTTTTGGAAACGAGCCAGGCAGGTAACATTAGAGATGTAACTCAGCCCAAAGTATGAACCCGTGATCTCACTGTCATTACTGCCATTATATACTGTCTGCTTTATTCATTAAATTATCTTTGGTAACTAAGTGCTATGTTTGCTCTAGAAATAAAAAGGAGACTGTGGATCCAAAACCTCTTTCCACTGCCCCCAAGTGGTCAGAAACAGCAGTTACTGGAAGATTTACTCCAGTGAAAATCTGCTGCTTGGAGTCAGCGTCTTATAAACACCAAAGGAAAAGCTTCAAAAGCTTTTTCAGGGTTATAGTCTATGCCAACTGTGACCTCTGGCCAGGAATAAACAAGAAAAGTAAAACTTTTCAAACCAAACCTGCAACAAAATCTGCTCCAGGGCTCCAGGGCTGATATAACTGTTTGCAGTGTTTTTGCACTCATTAAAAATCTGCATATGCAGTGCTGTCTCTTGTGGACCCGACTAATAAGAAAAAACAAAGCACAAACAACAACATGTTAGTATATTAAGAAGTTAACCTTTCTAGTAAAGAACTAGAGTCCTTGTTTCAGTGCAATCTTCAGCATGTTTTGGTTTCTTTCACTTCCGCAGCTATTACGTTTTATTGCTATTTCTCTTATGTTTTATTGAACATCCACTGTGTTCTGTTTGTCTTTGCACCATTTTTCTATTTGCCAGTGTTTTCTTAAGCTGCAGTGTGTTTGACCTCTGAGGGCAGTCTAAGTACAACACTACACAAGTCAACAATGACAAGAACTAATTTCACAGACTCTACTGAAGGGCGGCCCTCAAGAGTGACACCCTGGAACAGTAAGAAGTTTTATGGTCTTTGTCACTCAGGTTCAGTGGCAGATGCCATTGAGGTGTTTTGAAACCAGTGTGGCTCACAGACGGAATGAAAACGACTCTCAGCTCTCTGAAACTGTGACCCCTGTAAACACTGCTAGTGATTTTAAAGCCCTAGTTGCTGGTTTCAGGTCATACTGATAAAATAATTAATTTCTGAAAGGGAGATTTCCCTTCCCGCTGTCTCCAAAGCGCTTGCTGATGGGGCATCATGGAGATTATTCTGGTTTTCTCTGTTTTCTTTGTAATATTGTAGGATCTTTATCTTACAATGTAAAGCACACTGAGACAACTGTTGTTGTGATTTGGTGCTAAATAAATAAAAATTTAATTGAACTGAATTGAATTATCCCCAGTATGCTAATCACAAGTTGTTAGCTAGAGAGGGTTCAGGTTCACAATCTGATTCAACATTTGTTTGGATTGTAAAACATGATCCATGTTTTATACTGTCTTCGGTCTGTATATAGTCTTGTCTGTGGGAAAAAGCAGGGCAGGGACCAGAAAACTGGAATAAACATAAGGACAACACACAGGATTTGTTCCTTCATACTTTTGAGTTCTTTTTCATCTGACTAAAAACTCAGTTATTCAAGGACTGAGATGCCCTCTGTTCTGTCAAAAAAAAAGTCTCTGAACAAGTCTCGACATCATGGAGGAGATTGCCATCTTTGAGAATGGATAGAGACGAGTCTGCACCAGGAAAAGCTCGGGCAAAAAGATGAGCTTTTCAAGGGAGTCATGAAAAATATACAGAGAGCTCATGTGAACCTCCTAGCTTCAAAAGATGAGGAGCTGAAGTTGAAGAGAGCCTGGGATATTCTATAAGTGAATCTAAACTGGAATGTGGGTAATTCAACACAAAACATGCATAAAGTGCCGGAGAACTCCAATACTGTCAAGATGTCACAAATCTGTGAATCATTGGGATTGGCCTGACATGTAACAGTGGTTACTGATGTCCACCTGATCTGGTCGACATAATTTCAGCACAACAGGTCTCCTCTCAAATGTACGGAAGATGATTAGGGCCACCAGAAGAAAAAGTGGGCACGTCTTTTTTTTCTTTTCCAGAATTCTGAGAAAAAAAATCAGAATTCTGAGATTAAAGTTAGAATTCTGACTTTTTTCTCGGAATTCTGGAAAAGAAGAAAAAAAAGATGTGCCCACTTTCTTTCCCCAGTGGCCCTAATCCTCTTCCGTACAAATGGGATTTGGAGAAAAGATTTTATTAAATTAGTGCATGGAAGTAAATGTTACTGTGGAACAGCAAACATACACAATACAATTTTAAAGGTTTTAGTGAAAGTCTTTCTAGTAGTAAGTCTCACCTTAAATAAATCCAGCCAGTTACTTTGAATCTTTTACCTAAATAAATAAGGAAAGAGCCATAACTTTATTTTCAGTTCTCACTGGAAAACATGAGTGTGAATGGTTGTATTTTTCTGTGTCTTAGCACTGCAACTGGATGGCAGCTTGTTCAGGGTGTGGCCTTTTTCAGGACTTATAGATGCTCACTGGAACATGAAAACTGCTTGTATGGAATCACTAGTCAAATATTAAAAGAATTCAATGTCATACTAAGTTGTGTGACGATAGTTTTGCGATGTTGTGATGTGATGTTGAAGAACTCTTAAGTACCGTACATGCTGCTCTTAAGCAATGTGGCATAAACCAAGCTATGTTGTTCAGGTCAGCTGGTGTCTCACAGAAAAGACTCAAAACTTTTCTTTTTCCAAATAATTACACACATTTACATTTACAATAATTGATTACACAGCAGTGGAGAGTAGACTTTATCAAAATGGTAAATGGCCTGTATTTGTATAGCGCTTTTCTAGTCCGTAAGGACCCCAAAGCGCTTTACACAACCTGTCATGATGCATTGAGTTTTTCCTTTCCAGTCACCTTTCTCACTCATTATGTGCTAATAGACCTCTCTGCATTGAATCATATCTGTTATTAATCTCTGTCTCTCTTCCACAGCATGTCTTTATCCTGTCTTCCTTCTCTCACCCCAACCGGTCGCAACAGATGGCCCTGCCCTTCCTTGAGCCTGGTTCTGCAGGAGGTTTCTTCCTGTTAAAAGGGAGTTTTTCCTTCCCACTGTCGCCAAAGTGCTTGCTCATAGGAGGTCATATGATTGTTGGGTTTTTCTCTGTATCTATGAAGCGCCTTGAGGCAACTTTTGTTGTGATTTGGCGCTATATAAATAAAATTGAATTGAACTGAATTGAATAGGCCAAATGAACATGATACTTTCACTAAGATAAAATGGTAAAATATGTGAGAAATTCATTCTTAAAGATTGTCTGCTCGACCACTAACTCGCAGACAAAAACTGGAAGCACATTGTGAGAGTAAGCCTGTATCAGTAAGCCTGGCTGTCGGTTGCATGACAGATGGCTTTCTCCAACACTACATGGTGCCTGCAGCCTCTCACTCACCAAACATGCTGGTCAACTCTTTAGCCATCTCTCACAAGGCGACAGACGGTTTCTCAGACTGACACCAACACTCATCGTGTGCATCTGCCCTGAGTCGTCAGCCTACTTCATCCACTTCACACTGAGCCTATACATAGCCCGGCCTGCGCTCACTTGCCTCAGCTACAAAGACACTGTAAATAGGGCTCAGTGGAATGGCTAATGTTGTTGTCCATGACATTCAAATACTGACTTTGGAGCAGGTGCCTTGACTGCGCCGCACAAGATTTGGCTGTATTCTAAGATGGCGTAAAAGCACGTGGAGACAACTGCACGAAACATGACGTGTGGCATGACCACAGTGTTGTGTGGTCACTGTCGAGGAGCATGACCACACATGATAAAGACATCACTGTACAGAGAAATGTGAATCACAGCAGTCTTCTACTACTGTAAATCAAAGCCTTTCTAAAACTTCAGAATAGTTGATGTGATTTCATATTTAATAAAAAAAAAACTGAGAAGGAAACTTTTTATGTATTTAAAGGCTCATGGCCCAGCAGCAATAACTCTACAAGTGCCAGGAGCCCACACTGAATCACCGGTCTGTCAGATCAGAGCACAGGCACAGCTATCTATCAAATGGGATTGGATGGTTGGTAAAAAAAAAATGTGTTTGGTCCAACTGGCAGCCTCTAGGGCTGAAAAAATGAAACCAATGACAAATGAAATAAACAACAACAAAAAAACAAAATGGTAGTTCTTTCATAGTCCTCTCGAGGCAGGCTCCAAAAGTGAGTCAATCCCTTCAAATGGCCATGTCAGCATGTAAAATTAAGGAGTTTTCTGCTTCATAACAAGTGTACTGAGTGATTTTGTTGTTGTAATTCCTCCATTCTGATACTGGTGAGACTTAAAGTCATGGTGGTGGTGGACATTTTGATTGACAGGTATGCCAACAGACAGAGGGAAGTGGACTGGTTCTTATATAGTACTCTATTTGAGCAGTGAAATCACTTTATTCAACATGCCTCTTTCATAGATGCACTTTTCCTAATGAATGCATCAGGAGCAATTCAGTATCTTGTCCGATGATACATTATCATGCAAACTAGAGCAGCCAGAGATCGAACCATCAACCTTCTCATTTGTACATGATCTGGTGACTTTTGGGAGCTTTGGGTGATTGGAGACGAGTTCTGGATGCTGTCCTGCCCGGGCCACTTCCGGCTGTTTGATTGTCGCTAAGTGGCTCGTATAAGACTGATAAGAAATGACGAGGTAAATAGTTATTGAGTGCTTAACACATTTGTTAGACTGACCTAAATGAACAAAACTGGTAACTACGAAAATCATTTAATATGTTTCTGTAAAGGTTAATCCAACACTATATGTAAAAAGGCTTTAATCAAAAGAAATTTAATAAAGCTAAAATAGAAATATTGCTGATATCTATACATTTTCAAATGTATCGTTTTAGAAAAAAATGCAAAAAGAAAGAAAGATTTTTTAAAATTATATACTAGTTCCATATGTTACAAAGTTACTTTTAGTGGTTGTATGTGGTGCTCAATTAATTTGAGGCTTCTCAGAGAAGTGTACTAGTGCTGGCTCAAATTTGGGTGTAAAAACTTCAACTTATTTGTGATTGGCCTGATAAATAACAGTATAATGTTCAGTTTTAAAGAAGTCTCGACAGATTGCTGAAAATTTTTGTGTTTTCTTGTTTTTATGTCAAGTGGTTTAATACATTTGTTAATGTATTGTAATGTACAACTTTGACTGAGGTGAAATTTTAAAAGACAGTATAGCAAATGCTGGATCTGCCTTCCATTCTGTATCTGAAAGCTCTTTGCCTTTCTTCACACACAACTCACAGATTTCTGTAGTCAGGTCCATAATCTTTCTAAAACTTTGCAATGTGCTCTCCACAAATTAAGCACATGGCTTTACCTCTGACTTCAGTGAAGAAATACTTAAATGTTTTGTGAGAAGAAAGGCAAAGAGCTTTCAGATACAGAATGGAAGGCAGACCTTGCTGTTGCTGTGCTGTCTTTTGAATTTTCACCTCAATCTTTGACGGTAATCCATTTGTTCAAGCACAAACAGATTAACCTTTTCTCACTAAAGAAGGAAAAAGAACTAAAGATGAAGTAACTTCAAGTGAAATTGCAATACCAAGTTGAATATAGTTGAAAGTCTTTGAAAGTTTGTGAAAGCATACACATTTTATTCAGAACTGCTTTTGCGAATGTTGCTGTAATATGTTGGCATTTTTACCACAAATATTTTGTCTTCTCATTCCTTCATTGCAACATCTACTCTTACCAGTAACAGTTTATAAAGAGATAAAATGAATGTTGAGTAGAACTGATTTCAGCTTAGCGGTCCTGATTTCTGATGTGGCCCCTTGGGGAAATGAATTGCCCACACCTGCACTGTACTTTTATACACAGCCCATCCATCCAATTATCCATCCATTTTCTTCTGCCGATTCAAACATGAATAAATCTTTCATCCTATCTGAGGAAACTTGGGATGTCACAAAAAGGAAGCACTAAAACATCCCAAGGAAAGAAAATAAACCCCCTTAAAAACATTAAATTGGGAGAAAAAAAACATGAGAAACCACAAAGTCAAGGAGACATATCAATTTGGATACAAGTATATATTTCATATGATAAAAATGTATATTAAATGAAATGTGCGCGGTCTGACATGAGTGTAAACCAAGAAAAACAGCATAACATATAGATCACAGAGCTTTACTATAAGCCAGTGCAAGGACAGCCATTCAACACAAAGCTGAAAGCACAAGTGTTCTGTAATCATTCCCCCAACTTAAATACAGCCTTTTTCTAAAAGTGTGTTGCTGGTAGAAGCCAATAAGGCCCAGCCCACCGCCAGCCCCAGGGCGGCTCCGTTGTGGCTATAACAGTGGCAACGGCTGGACAGTTGAGGTGGTTGCCAAGAAGCCATGCCTCTACTTTAAGGGCAACACCTCAGATGGGTGCAGCTATGGAGGACCGAGAGAGAGAGAGAGAGGCAGAGAGGAAAAAAAGGACAAAAATATCCATAAAGTTGGCTCTATAATTGGCTGTGCCTCTTTGCCTTTTTTATGTGAGAGCACAGCCCAGTCAAGAACAGTAGAAGCTGCCTCGTCCCCAAGTGAAACCCTACACTTTCCCCCTTTGCAGTTCCCTCCCACCTTGTCCACTCATCCACAAGGTTGCTGAAGCTCACCTCACTTTTTAACAACACTCTGCACTGGATTGTCTCCCTGGATTATATTATAATCCCTTCGTGAGTTCTGATGCCTGCAGGGGTGACAGTTTGGATTATTATCAAGTGATAATGATGCTTTCCCAGTGCTGATTCAGGGTGTGAGCGCTGGAGGCAAAGACAGAAAGAGAGACACCTCCAGTGACACTGACTGAGTGACAGGCCAGGTAAGGGGAAAAAAGTCATGAAGTCTTCCATGTATTACTGCGTATTCTGCTTCCTTAAATGCTTTTTTATTCTTTAGCAGTTCTGAATTATTGGCTTTTTTGTGTTTATGTGTTGCTCAGATCTGCTATCAGAAAACATACTTTTTTTTCTCTCCTCTCCTTTGGTTGCACATAAAAAAAAGGCCTTTCTCTGTTTTTTGCATTGCGGGAATGATAAACGTGGTGCTTCTGTTATAGACATCTACACTGCAGTCCCAGGTCAACCATCAAGAGACGAAGTGGAAACAGGCCTGGTGATACAGACGTGCTGTTTGTAAGGAATCTGGTCCCAAGTTGGGATGTTGATATCCTGTTTTTAGCTTCACGTCAGATACTGTAGCTACGTAAAACTGCAGATTAATTCAGCTCCACATTTTATATAATCAGTGATGAAAGAAAGATAAATTATAATCTGTTTGACATACAGAGTAAAGAAGATTAGGAGCTTGAAACTAAATTTCATTCAGCTGAGCAGCTGAGAAAAATCTTTGTAGTTTGTTTTCATTGAAGCTCTTTGGGCTGAATTTCTGAGATGTTAAATGCACACTAATTGGACCAATTACAGTAATTTAGCTAAAGTGCCTGTTTTATTCATTAATAGCAACATTGAAACCAAGTAGCAGAAATAGCACAGTGGAGAATCAGATAAGGGCAATACCATACGCTAAAGAAGTTTGTACAACCCACAGTGAACTTTCTATGTCACAGACTACATGGAAGCTAAAGCACAGTCAACAGGCTGTCGAGTCCCACCACAATATTTCCTGACTTTCTGTTTAAATCGTTTTGTAATTTAAAATAATATATTCTTACATTTGCTGTAGTTATGTTTACTTAATGCTCTTTTATTATACTTCATTCTCCACTATAGTCCTAAAAAGTCTAGCTAATCTGACTAAATGATTAGCTTGACATTTTGGACAACACAGGTTGTCAGGTTTTCATGCCAAGAACTGGATCAACAGATTGACAGCTTGGAGGTGACTAGCTCTGCCTAGCATAACAACTGGAAACAGATAGCCTAGCTTTATTTAGATGATGCAGAATTTACCTACCTGCTCGAGGGATGTTACGGTTAACTTTCATCCCATTCATTCCTTCATGAAAGTTGCCAAGGCCAGATCAGTTGGTGATCGCCTGGTCACTAGGGAAAAAAGTGTATTCCCTAGCAGTTGATGAGTGGCTGCAGGAAGGTGCTTGGCATCACTAAGTGAAACTGGTTCAAAAGATTTATACAAGGTTGAACCGAAAACCTCATTGCAAGTTCGTTGGCTGCTGGCAGATTGCTGGGATCACTGTAGTTTGTATAGAAAATGCTGACCTGTCTGCAAATACTTGTGAAACTGTAACAAGTCTTACATAAGCTGGCTACAGAGAATGTTTGCCTTCAAAGTAAAATTTCATTTGTAAGTAACAACTTTTATTTAGCAGCCGAATAGTCTTTGTTTCCAGTTTGCATCACACTTTTTTGAAACTATTACTGAGTGGCAGTATGTGACTAAGGTCTATCTTATAACATAAGCAATCCTAATGTTTTAATGTGCTCAGTGAAGTCCAGCGCCCACACAGAGTGGGCATAGCCACTGTTTGCGTGCATCTTGAAGCCTCAACATTACCATTTTAACTGAGTTTTTTTTTTGCGTAACAAGTTATTATATTCAGAGATGTGACTGGACTGATAAGTTGCATGCATTTTAGGGCATGTACAGATGCAACACATAAATGCAGATACCTGTTAATAAGTGCTACGTACAGTAACAAACTGATATTTACCCACATAAACTGAAGTTTTTTCTTGGATTTGTGATGCAAAATCATCACAAGCAGTCAGAGGTTTGGTTCAGTTCAACAACCTCTGTAGTTTTTATGAAGGGACAAACTATCCAAAATGCCCAAAAGATGATGTTTTTTTTTTTGTTTGTTTTTTGTTTGAATCAAACATGTTAATTTTTTCACTGAAGTTGGGCATTTCAACATGGGACTCTATGTTGACTCACTTTTGGCACTGGCCTCAGGTGGCTACCTGATGGATCAACTAAAGTGTTTGACATTTTGGCTGAACTTTTCAACCCCAGATATGTTTATTTGTTGCCAACACTTCTCCAGATTGTTGAAATTCAGAAGCAAAACCTTCTAAAATCATGTGTTTTAAGCTTCTTTTTTTTAATATATATCAATATCAAGTTTTCTAATGACTGTTAGGAAAAGGTGAATTACCTGCTCCTTCCGTTATAGGAAAACTACACAGCACTGCTTTATTTCTGGAAGTTAAAAGTTACCATCCACCACCAAAAATGTATCTTTTTCTTTCTGGAAAACATACATTAAAAGCACAATTGAGTGAAAATATCACAACAGTAAAAGATGGTTTATATTATTGCTTTCCAAGCTGTGCATTACTCAGACTTTCCTCAACTTCCCCTGCAATGAAATCAGGATGAGCCTGTGTTATGGCTACAGTCAGCCACACATCAATCTTAATAGCAGGCATCACAACCACTTGTGTACAATAAGATCAAGAATAGTATTAAGTTTAAAAGACAGGCTCCTCTCAGTGCCACCCAGAGACAACAGCATAAAAATGATTCAAACAGAGGTAGACCGATGTCTTCTACAACATGATCAAACCTGTAAAAATGGCACTCTAGCAGTTAGATGTGTGTTTAAATGCATATTTTAAAGAGTAAGAAATTACTTTGGTTAACTTTTGCAGTTTATCATCATAAAACATCACAGACCTGACATTGTCCTTATGTGGTTGGAGTTGATATATATGCAGCAAATTCCAACACTCTTTACCAAGTCCAGTTTTTCTCTGGATGAAGTATTCACTGTTGCTATAAAACAAAAAAGTGTGTATTTTAGTCTTAGGTTTCAATTATCATGTCCTGAGAATGAAAGACATTTCCTTCCAGCTTTCATACCAAAGCGTAGACAGTAAAATACTGGACCATAGTGGAGATGAGATTTTTCTTTTTCTTTGACACATATAAGGTGTCTAAATGCAGTTTAAAATGTAGCTATTGGAACGCTAACAATTGCCTTCTTTGTCCAATGATTGTCAAGACTTGTTTGTAAAGAAAATACTGTATTTTCCACACTTTAAGGCGTACTTAAAATCCTTTAATTTTCTCAAAAATCAATAGTGTGCCTTATAATCTGGTGCGCCTTGAATTCTGGTCGTGCTTACTGACCTCAAACCGATTTTATGAGGTACGTGGCACTCAAAAATCTGTTAAAAAATGTTTTAATATGACTTTGCTAAGCTAAAAAGCCACACCGCTTGATGGATTGTCGCAGCATTACGGCTACTGTAGTCAGGAGCCTCGCGGACTATTCCAAAACTCCATCTGCTTCAAGTCACAAAGTCAAATCATCATCAACAGCAGTGATGTCTGTAGGGTTACTGAAGTTAGGCTAGCTGGTATATAATAATGTGGTATGTGATCGCTAGCGACACAGCTATGTTAGCATAACAAACACAGTGAAGCTGGAGCATGAACGCTAACTCCACTCGATAAAAGTTAACGTGAGAGTTCCCGATTGTTAGGGACAAATGCAATTGCATGGCCAAGATTCAGTCAGGAGAACAATTGAGATAATCCATCCACAATATGAGGTTTATTGTTAATATACTGCAACAACATGGGGATAGAGCAGTTGTGATAGAATTCAACATCAATGAATCAATGGTACGGAAGTGGAGGAAGCAAGTTGACTTATCTGACTGCTTTGTTTCACTTAATGCGCTTTATAATCTGGTGCGCCTTATGGTCCGAAAAATACGGTAAATCCCATTTTTTGATTGCATAGGTCTAGCGTTCAGAGGGATTTCTACTTGACCCATCTGGAGTTAGGGTAGATTTTGTTTTTTTGAGCTAGTGTCAATTGGCCACTTTTCAGAAACTATACATTTCACAGATCAATTAAAAAACACTTCTCAAATAGGCAATATAAATATAAATGCAATAAATAGAAATATATAAATATTTTTAATTAAATTGAATAGAATTGAACTGAATTGTGATTTTATTCATCTCTCCACAGACTGAACAACTTGATGGTTATAATAAGCTAAACAAAACAGACTGAAGCCAAGGCTGAGATGGAATTAAGACTGGGATTTAGGATCACCCTGGTCTTGGTCATCCTGGCCTTGACTCTTTCCAGTGAGAAGGTGGAAGCACAAAGAGCAGGTAAGACCATTATGATTAGACTTTCTGTTGTAATAGCAGCCTTAGAACATTTATAGATTGTATGTGTTAAAATCCTTTCTGCATCTGCCTTCTCTAGGTTGTAAAAACGTCCACTATGACTTGGCTTTTATCCTGGATACCTCATCCAGTGTTGGAAAGGAGAACTTTGAGAAGATTAGGCAATGGGTGTCTAACCTGGTGGAGTCTTTTGATGTAGCACCTGACAAGACAAGAGTAGCCGTGGTTCGCTACAGTGACAGACCAACCACTGAGTTCAACCTAGGCCAACACAAGACCCTGGAAGATGTGAAGCGAGCTGCAAGCAACATACGCTACCTGGGGGGAAATACAATGACTGGGGATGCTATCAACTACACAACCAGCAACATCTTCACAGTGCAAAATGGAGCGAGGCCGGTCGCCAGAGGCATTCAGAAGGTAGCCATTCTTCTCACAGATGGCCGAAGCCAGGATTATGTTTTGGAGCCGTCTAAGAAAGCTGCCAAAGCGGACATCAGGATGTTTGCTGTGGGCATAGGGGAGGCTCTGAAGGAGGAGCTGGAAGAGATTGCAGCGGAGCCAAAGAATGCCCATGTTTTCCATGTAACAGACTTCAATGCCATTGACAAGATCAGGGACAGGCTGAGGAGGAGGCTGTGTGAGAGTAAGTCAGCCATCGGGACCACTGCCAACAAAACACTCACACTGCATGCCGCATGGCTTCTTTTTGAAGTTATACTTTGAACAGCCTGCCTCAGTTGCAATATGCACTTCATCAAACTGACTCTTATTTTAACCTTTTAACCACTGTGAAAAGAGGAAAGACCCTAACCACAAAACCCCACCCCAACCACACAGAGATGCACATGCACACTGAGCTATCCCGGCTTCTTGTGACTGAATATGAAGCCGTTGCAAAAATTAGCTCGTAAATGACAGTTTCCCGACCAAGACATATCTGTGGTACAGCTGCCTTTTCGACTGCTGCTATTCTGCAGAGGCATTTAGCAGTAGAAAGCTTGTCTTAGTGTTAACCTCAATGCTTTCTCCACTGGTGTGCTGAGAAAATGTTTTAACATGGACACAAAACAGTTTACACTGCTAACTTAATCAGTTAAAATAGACTTAAAATATTCTATCTTAACAACTTTTTTTTAGCTTTGTAGCGAAGCAGGGACCCATCCGTTTGCTAGCATTTTTTTGGGGATGATGGATGCTTCCCGCGCCAACGCTTAAAATTCCTGCCTAAAATTAGCCAGACTGGAAAGAAAGGGATGCCATGAGTCTTAACCACGAACAAGAAATACTAAAATGGAAATGACATGATTACATGGTTTGCTTAAGGATGAGCAATGACAAACCCTCAACTTTTATTTTAACCTGGTGCTAACCTGTCAGGCAAAAGCAGTGATTCCTGTCAAGAATGTGATGAGTAAGACTAAAATGCCTTCATTCTTTTTTGAGGGTGTATCATGTTACAAAGTTACATACCTCTTGTGCTTTAAAGGCAGCTTGTAGTTTTGTCTTAAAGCCAGTAACCTCTGACTCTTGACTCATAGGTTTTGAACGAGGCACCCGATAAGATTGTATTTTTAAATCATACTTTATCAACTTCAACAAGCCAAAGGCTAAATTCAGTCAGGTAAAAAAAAGTTTCAGTGTTTTCTTTCTATAATCTCTAAAATCACCACGGGTGAGCCTCCAAGTACACCAGTGGTCAGCAAAACTGGCTGCCTGAGCGATGTGAGTTATTTTCACCCAGAAAATTATAGCTCTAATGTTTCAAGTGGGTCAGCTACAGTGGCTCAAATGTCCATGTTAGATGTTTTCACCTTTTAATCTATAGTTTTAAAAATGGACGCTATTTATTCTGTGCTACACTGATTCGACAGAGCATGTGTGGCCTCACCTAAGAACACAAAATCCTAAGATTGCATATTTGACCTTACATGTCCGTTCTCCACATAACAGACAAGGGGCACCCAGATGGTGTTTAAAAATTCACCAGCTATAATAGTGACAGGGAACACAGCTAATAGCAAAAATGAATAATTTACCAGTTTATGGCTGAAAACAGATGCCACATGCAATGCATACATTTTTGATGATACTTCTGTAACAGAGATTCATTCCCAAAGGCAAGTTTTACACTGCTTCCACTTTAACTCACAGCCAGACCCCGAAATTATAGCCTTAGGGCCACAAATCTGAGGGTAGCTCAAGTATTTAGCATGCTCAAGTGACATCACCATCTTTAAAAAAAAAATGAGTGATGTGCTTATATATATTTTACAGAATGGTCATTTTTGGCTAACTTTGGCTTTATAAACAGTATAAGCCAAAGGTCCTATCTAACGTCTACATTTTTTTTTTTTTTTTAAATTAAGGCACAAGCAGACACAAACAAAAAACGGTCTCCTCCAGCTTTGCTCCCAATGAAAAATGTCAAGCCCAAATTAAAAACAATGCACAAGAAACTGAAATAACTGCACTACTTGGGGCATGATAAAGTATTCAAGAGCTGACAGGCGCTCATAATCAGTGCTACAGGTTAAAAGCCTTTCTGCAGTGAAGATTTTTACAGCTGTGAATTGGAAAATAAATTGGATTTTTAGCAAATAATAGAGAATTTGGAGTGTCTCACTTGTCAGATAATATATGCAGGATAGCATTCAGGGTTAGACGAATCAATGACATAATAACAGGTTTCATGATATAGTGATTCCAAAGGGTAACACGATTTGGATTTGCTGCTGTTGACTGAAAGTTAACACAAGGGAGCAGATCAGGGTGAGTTTCAAAGAGTGGAGGATACAGATTTGTCTTGATAAAAATGCAGTTTAATTTCAGCAATCAACAGAGTGGAAAGTTTATCATGGCACTTAGAGCAAATAGAATGACCATAAAAAGGCAAGTCTGCATGTCTCTTTACAACTATGCTAGCAGCTCTGAGGCGGTACAATGCATAGCATTGCGTTATTTTGAGCCAAATGCTAATGTCAGTTTAAAATGAGCGTGATATTTCTGTTAACAGATTCTATGTACCCACTTGTGTGGTATATAATGTTTACAATGTTTTGCAATGATGGTCACACTAACAACTGTATTTTGTGAACATTTGCCTGTAAACAATCGTTTAATGCATAAAGCCTAAGAGTTAGCACAACACATATGCAATATATGGTTACTCTTCAATTATAAGTGCACTGCTAGCATGCTAGCAAGCTAGCAAGCATATGGAATATCACTGGTGCTGTTGACACATCCTCTGTCTACTTTTAAAATGTTTCATGGTTCCCCCATATCATGCTTAGCCTTGATCCTAGTCAGTGATGTTAAGAAATGCTCGTAAAATCCACATAAAGAGGCCAACCCATCACTGGTATTGTTTTTTTGTTTTTTTTTAGCATTACACTATCAGTGTAATGCTAAAAAAATTTAATGCAAAAAAATGAAGTTGATGTTAGTCAAGCTCTTTCTAGCTGGTATTGCATGGTAGCTCAAAATTTGTACTGTTCTGTGTTCAGAATTTAATCAGCTTTGGCAAGCTCTTCAACACCGAGAGCTGAAATGCAGCCTCAAATCATTACAGAGCCTCCTCCATGTTTTACAGATAGCTGTAGATTCCCAGTGTTGCCAACTCCTCAGTAAGGAAAATCGCTATTGGCTGTCCTAAAAGTCGCTAGAAGTCGCTAAATGACGTCATCGCCTAATTTGCATAATTGGTCATGCTAATGTAATTATAACCTATGTTGTTGGAGAGAGAAATAACATCGTGGAAAAGACATAAAGTGAGTAAAAAACGTCCTAAATGCATTTAGAATTTATTTAGAACTACAAATTAAATTTCTTTTAGCAATTATTGTTTTTTTTAATGTCACAATTCCAACCTTGCTCCTTTATCCGGGCTTCGACCGGCAAAAGTGACCCGAAATAGGCACTCTGGTGGAGTTACTTTGTGTGTGTGTGTTTATAAGTAGTTTTAAACCTTGTGATCCACAAAACAGCATAAGAGTAAAAGAAGAACTGACTGCGTTACAGCACCCGCTGCTCGTTGAGAGTAAACGTATGCGCTTTCACGTCTGAAAACTCGCTAAATATAGCGACAAAGTCGCTAAGTTGGCAACACTGTAGATTCCCACTGTTGTAGGTGTCCTGACCTCCTTTTTGAAGTCAGGACACCTACAACAGTGGGCATTGTTGTAAGGTAGACGTGTACCTTACAACAATGTGAACTGAAGTGTAAAATTAGTTGTTATTAATATCAGCCCAACTCTTGTGTAATTTGACATACCTCATCCTTTTCTTCCTGTTTCCCTTACCTTAAGACTGGATTCTTGACAGCCACCCTTTCACTGAGACCACTTTGATGGGGCTTCAGTGAACAGTAGATGGAAGAACTAAAGGACCGCACACATCTCCTGACGCTGTGTCAGGTCTTTGCTGGATTTTTAACTTTGTGTTAAGGATTTCACTATAAGATGCTTTTAAGCTGTGTCGTTAGCCTTTTAGACTTCAAAATTACCATCAAATAGCTCTTTGGGAATCACATTAATGGTGCGAAAGTAGTATTTTATGCCTGTTATACCGTGTCACATTTGGCTTTTTTTGTCTAGACACAGCACTACTTTAATGTTTGAATGATTCATAGGTGAGGGTTAGTTGGCTTAATTAACAAAAAGTAAGCAAACAAACAAACTCCTTTGAAAACGATAAAAAAAAGACTCAAAGACTGGACTAAAAATGAAAATTAGTAATAAAGCAACCGATGTATGATGGAAAACTCCAGAAGCTATGGCTCAAGACAGCTTTAAAAGTTCTTGGAATAAAAATATAAAGAATAAATGATGGTGGAGTGAGACTTTTGCACAGGACTGTATTTGAATATTTGCACTGATTCTTTTTGTTTTTTGAGTATTCGTATGTTCTGTGAATAGCCAGACATCCAGCTGCATACACTATAGTACAATGAGAAATAAAAAATCAACAATTAAAATGATAAAACAAATCAACATTAAGTTAACAGACGTTATTCCAGCACAATAAGAAATAGCCACCAGCTCTTCATGAACTTAAGTGAGCCCTGAATTCTGTACCTGAGTTGTTCTATTTTGAGGTGTATCATTATGTCCTCCACCCAGCGTTTATGGGAAGGCAGTGAGGCCTTGTTGACATATTAACATTTGGCTGGGATAAAGTTTGCCGTGTTCACATTTCTTTAGTGTGTCAGCACGCTCACGTGTGATTATTAGTGCGTGTGCTTTATGACACAGTTTAGTAAAAAACAAACAAATGAAAAACAAACGTAAACTCACGCGAACCAGCAAAATCAATAGGAATGAAGGTTATCTGTATCCATGGATTAACCAGGAGTGAAGAGATCCTCAGAAACTGTCGGTCACATTAAGCAAACGTTTACATCTATGGAACTAGACAGCACCCTTCACAGAAGCTGGCATCCTGACACAGAAAATGGCTCTCCTGCCAACCTGAAGGGTTTGCCTTTCTTGCTGTCATCACCATCACTGAGCTGCGCGTGTGTGGAAATATAACACTGTCACCCCACCTACTATAAAATCAGTTTAGAGATTGTGTTTCAAAGATCCGACTGCTTCCTTTAACAATATGCCACTTCACAACTCTTACGTCTGACCCCTCAGAACGTTTCCCGCTGATTGCTTCTTCTAATAAAACAGTAACGTGATTCGATTTTGAACAGGAAGATACCGGGTTACCATATCTTTCTCCCCATGGTCCAATAAGAGCACGAGCGTGTCTAACTGAATTATTTTTGCTTTCTCCTCAGATGTCCTGTGTCCAAATATGAAGGTTCAACCTGATCGGTTTAAGCCCGGCAGCACCAGTTATGGTCTTGAAGAGGTTCCAGGTATGTGCAAACTGCTGCTTTCCTAACAGCAACATGCAGCACTGGCAATACGTGTCAACCACAAGGTCAGGTCTTTATTTCTGAAAGCATTTCCTACATTTTCCAAAAACATTTATTGCATACTAAGAGTTTGTTCTCACACACAGTTTCTCTCTCTTTCCATGAGAATATAAAGTGAAGTGGTTTAATTCATGACCAGGAAGCTGCTGGCAGCTCTCTAAATATACTTGTGAAAACAAAACACTCGTCTTTTTCAAAATCAAGTTTGAAAGTGGGCCAATTCAGAGCTTCACCTCATGGTTCGGCTCTCTTTACCAGTATGGTTGACCTGCTGGTGGGTTGATCTCTTGCTCCAAGATACTTGAACTTACTTTTCTATCTAGGATAGACTCCTCAGCTTTATCTGAAGTGAGGTCACCATCCTTTTCTGGGAGATAACAGTTCTGAAGAGTTTATCCATTTCATCTGCATCAAACTCAAACCTTTCAGATGACCACTTGAGGCGCCACAACTTTATCTGTAGAAAGACGTGACCTCTCAGTACGCTCAGTGTTTGTTATTGCAGCTTCACTATTGAAATCCAGGCTACGTAAGTCACAAACAAGAGTCAAGACAAGGCGCTGCTCTTTTTAAGATTAGCAGTGAAGCTGCTGTTTCACTAGCATGTAGCGCTCCATCATTAGATGTTTTTATTCCACACATTCCACGCTGCTGTGTTAAAGGTTCTTCTCTGAGGTCTTGAAAACCGTTTACCCACCAGTTAAAACAGTGTGTTCTGGGAAATCTCAGTTCCTGTCTGTGTCTCCCACCCACATCCATCACAGTAAGAGAAAAAACAGATGCACAGGCATGAGTGTTTGGACTCGTGCTAAGTCCAGGTTCAAGAAAAAGAGATGTAAGAGCAAGAAAAGCTATGTTTTTAGAAATGTTCCCTCTTAACATACTTAGCTGGCACAGGGTCCTCTGTTGATTTATTCAGGAAAGACAGACTTTGATTTCTTAAAAAAAAAATCACTTAAAACCCAGACATCCTTCCATCTCTTTTGGATATCTTTTGGTCAGCATCACAACTCTACTGGACCTCACTGCGTACACCCCGAAGAGGCTGCTGAATGACAGCCAAAAACACGTTACTTCTTAAGGACAGCTTATCAAAACTGCATGTCTTTAGACATGTGGGAGGAAAACCACACAGACATAACATGGAAACTTGAAACAGAAAGACACCAGCTGGCAATGAATTCAAATATAACAACATTAATGAAATGAAATAAAAAAAAACAAAACCAAATATATCTGTTTTGGACAAAAAATAACTGGCTAAGTTTAAGACTTGTGTTTGTTGATGCAACATCTGCAAATCAAAGATGGATGACAATGATTACTATTTAACATAACAGCCCACTTTTTTTTTAAATTCCCCTCTCGCCCCTGTCGGGCCGTCTTTATCCTTCAAACTCGGGTCTTCTACAAGAGGCCTGGGAGCTCGAGGGTCCTGTGCAGTATCTATATCTATATTTCCTTTTGCTTCAGAAACAGCTTTAAACCACTGATGGAACACGTAAGTCAATTACTGAGAGACAGGGTCATTAGTGCTGCTTGATTTAATGTGATGAATAGGACTTTAAATAGTAGTAAAGTTGTATATAATTGTCAACAACAGACTTTTAAAAGTTCCCAGATGTATTTTGTAGTTTAATAAAAAGGCAACAAACTAACAAAATTCAGATGAGATGAGAAACGTCTCATTAGCTAATAACTTGTGATTGACAATAAACATACACAGGATAATCCTAAATTTGAAACCGTCCAAAATATTTAATTTTTTAAAATTCAATTTGATTTCAAATTTCGATGAAATGAGTTACTGAACCTGTAAATTCATCAGGCGAGTGTTCGCAGACGTCCCAGCATGGAGCTGTTTTTCTGTAGCATCCGTATAGATTGTCAGTCTGCTGGCACCCACAGCTCTCACATTCAGTGATTAAGTGCAACATCAATATGGAGTTGCACACTGAGCTATGATGTGAAGTCTACTTTTTAGACTACATTTATTTCCTGGTGAGAAAAACTGTGGTTTAGCTGTTAACTATCCACTACTGGATGCACCAGCGAATGGCAGTGGCATGTTATTCCTGCCTGATTACTCTGTACTTTAACCACATAATCTTATAATCATCAGTTAATTTCTCACAATTATTTGAGAGATCTTCTGTGAAATATTACGAGCTAGTAAAACTGAACTTTTAAATACTTCAGTGCATATTTGTTTATTGTATTTCAGTTTTGCTAAATGAACAGTATTTCCCCTCATACTGTAGTCAGGTTTTAAGAGTATATATTGGACTAAAGTACAGAACCCTTTGAGAAAGCTTTATCCCTGATGTATCCTCTTAGAGTTGCTAAAAAGTTACGCTGACTTTTTGACTGAAAAGTCAAAAGTTTGACTGAGTGTTTTCATGATCAGACACAGCGTCACTTTGTGCTGTCAAGACACATTATCACATCCTCGTCACTGGGCGAGTGCTAATTATGTGGTTTGGCTTTTTCTCTCAGCCGCAAAAGAAATTAGAACAAACTTTTGATAAATCACTGAAAGCCACTGATGCTTTCTTCAGCAGATGTGTCTCTTTGTCAGATGCGCTAAGCACTCGTACTGGAATAAATCCTCTGACCAAAGATTTGTTTGTCAGATCTTGTTCCAGTGGAAAACTCTATGGGAAACACTTCTCTTGCACCCAGACTATAGAATACTGTGGAACAGGCCATGAATACACTTCACACTGCACTGATTTATATTATATTTGCTTTACATTTAGTTACAGCTAAACACTATCATAATTTTAAATTCCATCATAATTACTCATTTTCTATACTTTAACTGTTCCCATAGTGTTGTCTGAAAGCAAAGGCAGCTCAAAGAAAATGTTCAGTTTTTATTTCACTTTAGCACCAGTAGATACAGCACAGGGGTGCTTATTGATTTATTTTCTCTACCTTGAATGTAACACAGACAGTTGCGTCACAATCAGGTCTTTTCTACGAGCAAAAACCTGCTGTGGGCCCCACTTGGGGCGAAATGTTATCACACAGCGGTCTGAGGTCTGACGCTCCCTGACATGATAAAGATGTCTGGGGATTTCCAAGCTGCAGTCGCTCTGTAAATGCAGCTAACTTTAAGATGTACAATGTCAAACTTGCTTGAGCAAAGTACTTTTTTTCAGTTTGCGGGTAAGCACACCGAGATTTTCTCTTCATACAGACACACGGTGTTTATCATTGCTACTCCTGCAGGTCCTTCTTATAATTACACAACAAACACCTCTGTGCTGGTGCACAGGGAGTGCAGTTCTCTTTGCTAAATGTCAAGACTATTTGCCACTTATTATGATTTGACAGCCAAGAGACCTGCGGTTTGAATGAGACTTGTATTTATCATGGGCTGTCTAGTCAGACCCCCTCAGGGTACCGAGCACACACAAGAGGCTGCGGAGCATCTCCGTGGCTCCGCGCTCACTATCTACTGTACAAATGTTGCCATCTGCTCCCATCAAAAGAATGCTGTGTGTATGCGCTCGCCTTTCCCAGTCAGTGAACTCATCTGGTTTTTGCCGCAGATCACCCCAGTGGTCGTTTTTGGCTGTCCAAAATAACTTTTTGGGTTGATTATACGCTATCTGCTGCCAGTTCAAATTACAGCTTTGTGCTCAGATTTGGCCCCAAAGAGCCACAGAAACAGCATGGTGTGCACGATGCAAGCACAGTGACAGGGAGAGTCGAGGCCAGTGTAACTCACAGCTGCGTGGCTTCCTCGAGCAACTGATAACCAGCAAACATCGCTCTTGTACAGAAAAGATTTACTTTTTTACTTGTTAAGTTGTCAACTACTCAAAGTGTTTTCTTTCAGATAGCAAAGGATCACACGTATATCAGCAGACCTTTTAAAAATAACCCAACTGAGACTGGGGGGGATTTTGCAAGTATCCCATCCCATGATTTAAATAAGGCAAAAGTCTCAGGTATCAGAACACAGCAACAAATCCTTTTTGGATTTTTCTGCATGAACATGGTGAGAAAATTAAAGATGACTCACATTAGATGTCAGGCTTCAGAATGTGTGTGTGTTTGAAGCTGTGTTTTTCATTTACCTAATATACAGCACCAAATCACAACAACAGTCGCCTCAAGGCGCTTTATATTGCACAGTAGATCGTACAATAACAAACAACAAAAAAGCTAAGGCAAAATTGATGACTCTTGTGTTTTAAGTGAGCAAAGAAACAGCACCATCTGGTGGCCAGTAAAGGTAACCTAACTAATAAAGCTGTTTCATAATCAAATGAATGAAAGACAATGACAAATGTTTCCTTGTGTGTGCGTTTGAGCAAAGAGAAAGTCTCCACCCACTGCTGAGTGAATAAAATAATTGTTTACGGTGCATTTGAGGCACGTTACTGACAGAGAAAGCAGCTGTTGTGTGCGGCTGATGGCAGATCAGTTACATCTGTCATGAAGACTCTTGATTCTAACGTTATTTTTTGCTCTGTTGCTAATGACACAGGGGCAGGCTACGTGTGCGCTTAACCACCTGCTTCCAAGCTATTTCCTATGACATCCACTGAGCTTTTCTGCCAGACTCTCGCATTACCACCTTAATGCTGCGGTTTCCTCTTTGAAAGATTAGTGCGCTGCTGTTATTATTCCCACTAGAAGTCTCACACAGATTTTGCTGCATAACTAGGGCTGTGCAGGAAAATGTTGAGGCTGTTCTCATTCTGTTGACTCACTCATGCCGCAGTCTGCTTTCCGAAGAGCTCAGACTACACAACATAGGCTAACCACCAGCTTTCAGTGAGAGCTGCTGGACACACTGGCAGCATTAGTGCTGCACAAGCGCTCGTCTTACTGGCATCGCCATAGCTACAGCTACTTGTTTGTTGTACAAGGGAGTGTCCTCTCTAAACCACCTAACTATGGTCTGTGGTCACACCACTTCAAATCACACGCTGCAGAACAATGTACACACAGATGCGCTCTCTCAGACTCACACGAGGACCTTACCAGCAGTGGAAACGAGTTTTTTTCCCCCATTCTGGCAACAAATCTAACAAATATTTAAATGGTCCAGAAAACATCTGTATTTTCCAGTTGTCCATTAATTCAGCAATTCTTCAAAAAGTCAAAAACACAGTCGATGCAGGGTGTGGTGGGACTGACCCAGTTAAACTTCAGTGAACCCCCTAGAAATCTGACAAAGCCATAACTCAACTTCATGACCGGAGAGCCTGGCATGATTTTTTTATGTGTGTGAGGAGTCCAACTAGGCTTTTTTACTGTGTTGCTGCAGGATTTGACCTGATGGAGTATTTCAACGTGAGAGATATTCTGGGAACCAGAGCTGAAGATGGACAAAGTTCATATGTTCGCCTTGGCACCATGCCTATAGTACAAAACACAGAGTAAGTGACCTGCCCATTATGCTTTAAACAGCTCAGCTTGTTTTTGAGCCCTGTCAATGCACGTGAAAGTGGCAAAAATGAAGTCTCTGAAGTCTCCAAAAATTCATCCTTTTACATCTCAGTTCTGGCTGAAAAGGAAATGTTTCCTGCTCAAAAACTCCAACAATGAGGAGATTCAAAGCCAAACACAACTAAGACCAACTTGCAATACATTATGACACAATCCCATGTGAAACATCATTACCATGTAGCTATATTAATGACGTCTTCTGTATATTAACCTTATGGAGTTAGAGTTGATATGTCGCTATCTGAACACAACCAGATGAAATGTCCGTAAATGTGGTATTAAAAAGAAATACTTTCTTTGGCAGCTTTGAAACAACCACTAGCCATCTACTTAAGTACTAAAGACTTAGTCTTTTTTAGACTTATTCCTGACATCCTGAGATCCATAAAGGGATAAAGGGAAGTCATTTTGAAGGCTCAGAACTGGCCAACAAGGAGAACGTGGATGTCTTCTCCCCATTTGTCAAATATTTTTGTCTCATTAAGTGTGTTTTCTGTCTGCACTGTTTTTTTTATATAGGACGCTACAGTAAAAATAAAATTAGCTAACTCTTAAAGCTAAAAATAAAGACACCTTAACTAGTATTCTGCTTTGATGGCGCAAATGTCTGAACTAAAGCACCAAGTTTAAACCTTTTTTTGTTACTTGTTACTTGGTGGCTAAGCTAGCCTTGTCAATTTTCAGTATTTATGCTAAGCTAACTGTCTGCTACTTGTAGCCATAGAGACCCTAAAAAATAGGTTTGACTACAGTAACATCCCCCATTGATTTTTGAAGTTCCTTTTGAAGTGTCATGGTGCGCATTTTTACCACCGTGGTGTTTTGAAACAGAAGAACAAGCGCTGGATTTGTGAAAGAATGATTTTGGCTAACAAGGTGTCAATCCCAAATTGTTAGCCAGTGAGCATCCTGGCTAATCCTATTCTTTGAAAGGTTTTTCCAGTTTTCAAATTTTACAGAATTCTGAGCATTTCCTTTATAAATATTAATTCAGATGTGAACAGTTTATTTTATTTTGCTGTTTCTATAAATACACAGGCAACAGTTTGAATATAAGAAGTCAGTGTAAAACTGCTAAGAAGAGCAGGAAGAGTAGCTACAAACACACTGGTTGCTAGGTAAAACACTGGGACTGTGTTTAACCTTATACATTAATATTTCAACTGCTGTACAGCCAATGCAACTGTTGGTTTACCACATCCACTAAAAAGGGAAAAATAAAGCAGTAATAATAATGAACTTTTATTCCACAGAGATGTGTTTCGTCAAGGGCTGCCAGACGAATATGCCTTTGTGACCACATTTAAATTCAGGAAAACCTCGAGGCGTGAAGACTGGTACCTCTGGCAGATTTTTGACAAATATGGAATTCCACAGGTGAGTGAGCCAAATGTAAATAGTGACAAATGTACATGTCTCTGCATGTGGCCCAACTTGGAGAATTACATCATCGAATGGGCTCAACTCGCTGACTACTTTTTCATTCAATATTTTATTCATTTTTGTACATTCATTACTTCCCCCTATGGAAAACAAGCTCCTTTATGTTTCAGTTCACATCCCTGTGCTTCTGACCTGTCAGGTGTCCATCCGTCTGGACGGTGAGAACAAGGCAGTGGAGTACAACGCTGTGGGCCTTACAAAAGATGCTGTGAGGGCTGTGTTCAAAAACCCTGAAGTCGACAACCTGTTTGACCGCAACTGGCACAAGATTGCCCTCAGTGTGGAGTCCAAGTCTGTGTCTCTGTACTTGGATTGCAAGCACATTGAGACGCTGCCGATAGAAGACAGAGAGGACATTGATATCCAGGGGAAGACAGTGATTGGGAAAAGGCTGTATGACAGTGTGCCAATTGATGTGAGTCTTTACCTCCGTTTTGGCAACAGTGTGATTCATGTCAGTCAAGGTTATTTTTCTGCAGTTGACCTGTTGTTAATCTGTGTACATACAGTTTGACCTCCAGAGAATGATGATTTACTGCGATTCCAAGCATGCCGAGCTGGAAACCTGCTGTGATCTACCTAATGGGCCTGTAAGTATTACAGGCCAACAGGCCCAGAGTCTGCGTCTTTGCAGTGAAAGCGAAACGCGTCTTTCAGATGCTGCTGCTAAGCCATGGAGGTTCCTGGTTGCATAGAAATATACATCTACCACAAGATGGGATGCTTTGTGTTTAAAGGAAAGGTTACATCCAAATAATTAAGTTTGCATGAGTGTGTGCCCCCCCAGCTCAGTTGTAGCTTGAACAGCTAAGCTACTTTGAATAATCAGTTTAGCTTTGTTACTTTGTAACTCTGTACAATACAGCTTTTTCAAACAGCTTTAGAGGAGCAGTTTGACACTCATACACATTTAACCTCCTAGGACCTGGCGTCCACATATGTGGACATCACATTTTGGGTTATTTAGACCAAAATACTAAATTTTGCTCTACAAGGGCCTGATATCCACTTACGAGGACATTATACTGCCACTGTTTTATCAAAATTTTAAACAAATATCCTCATATGTGGCTCTTATTTTTCATAAAAACAAAAATAAGGTAAAAAAAAAAATCTGGTAATTCTTTGTTTTTACATTCATTGGGCCCCAATATGCCCAAATATCAAAGAGAAATTAAAAATGCATGCCGTGGAAGAGTTCGGGTCTTAGGAGGTTAAGATGAGGTGAAAAAAAATCCAGATATTTTCCACTTGCTCCTTTGAAATATGATGGAAACAGAAACAAGCAGTTACTTGCCAATGTGACTAATCAGACCTCCACACGGTGGTATTTATTAGCTGATTAATGGAGTTGACACATTACTTAAAATTGATTTTGTAATAATACACATTAGTGCCACAATCTTCAGAATAAACAGAAGTACAGTGGTTCTTTGCCTAACACAGATATACGCTATAATGCTAATGAACTGACCCAGGCATATCTACCACAGATTAAAAAAATGATTGTCTTTGCAATCTCACCAGCTTACAACTAGTTAATTTTGCTAACTAGGCAATTAAGACACAACTAAACAGCCTATAGGATCTAGCTGTCATGAGCTGTCATGCTAATGTTTAATTCTTGGGCTCCACTAGATTAGCTTTGCATGAATCACAATAGCTCAAAATAGTTCTTATTTATGTTGGTTGCTGATGCAGCCCCTCAATTCATCCACTGTCTGAAGCTTTTTCTCATTCATTTTCCCCCACTTCCTTCTCATTGGTTAACCTTCAGAAACACAAGATTTAAACAGTGTGTGCTTGTGACTCTCTATCATCATACAGAGCCACTTTTGAAATGAAATGTTTCAGAGTTGAACATCCTGAAGCGTCAGTTTTTAGATCACAGGGATGCCTGCAAACCTTAAAATAGCACTAATATACACCCAGGAGAGACACTGATCATCATCAGCTCATCATAAAGGTATAGACCATATAGGTATCATTTCTTCTAAAGCAGGAGCTACTTTAAAAGTAGTGTGGGTCTGAATAGTTTTAGCCTTAATCAGAGATGCCTGTCTCTTCTATCACAGCATCATGGTCCAGTTTTATCAAAATAAATTGCTTCATTTCAGTGCCCTAAGACGGTTGTGACAGAGGCTCCCCCTTACAAGATCCCCACGCCAACACCTACCAGTGCTGAGCAACAACGAGGCCCTCACGTGAACTGCTCCTGCCCTGCTGGAGAAAAGGTAAAGCCCCGCTGAATTACCACGCCTAATCCCTCTCTATTATTTCCACGGATGAGTGGGAATCCTTTCTTCAATGGCTTTCAAAAGACGGCTGTGTTTTCATTTCTCACAGGGTCGCATGGGTGCACCCGGTGTTGCAGGTCCTATGGGTGAAAAGGTCATCTACCACTGCCTTTCAGTTCTATAGTGTTTGTGATAAAGGATTACACTTTCATTATAGTTGTTCGGCTTTATTTTTATTGTGTGAACCTGCCTACCTTTTTCAGGGTGACACTGGCCCTAAGGGTGCTATCGGACCACCTGGACTCAAAGGAGAAAAAGGACAAAGTGTATGAAAACTTAAAAATGTCCACAGTCACATCTTTTTACTTTTAAGATAGCTTCAAAGCAGTGAGGGAAATGATTACTTGATAATAACTATGCTGAATTTGTAAGATTGCTCACTTTCAAAGAAGGAAAGAGTCATGATTTTTATGTAAACACATTACATAAATGTTATAAAATGATTTGTATGTCACTGAGTAAAAATAAGCATTTGATCTCTAACCAAAACATAATTTAGTATTTGGCGGAGAAGTGTTGTTGGCAACCAAGCATTAAGATGTTTCTTGTAGTTGGTCTCCAGGTTTGCACACATCTCAGGAGGGATTTGAACCCATTTCTCTTTACAGAAACTCTCAAAATCATTTAGGTTTCTTGGATACCACTTTGCAACTCAAATGTCCCTCCACAAATTTATAAAATTGAGGTCCGGAGAAGGTCTAAGCCACTCCGTGACCTTAATGTGCTTCTTTGTTTTTATCCTTTTTGTTGCCTTGGCTGTATGTTTTGGGTCATTGTCATGCTGGAAGACTATCTATGACCCATCTTCTGTATTCTGGCTGATGGAAGGAGGTTCTCGTTCAAGATTTTACATTGTGCTGTGAAGTCTTCCTGTACAGTGCAGTCCAAAAGCATTATGTTGCCACTTGAGTGTTTGACATACTCAGCATTTCTCTTTCTTCAGTTGGGTCGAGTTGTTGCCAAAGAGTTTGAGTTTAGTTTCGTCTGACCACAGCGTTTTCTCCAGAACCTCCTTTTGAATCTTTTAAATGTTACCAGTGACTGTTGTCCCAGCCACCGTCTGATCAATAACAAGCTCCTCATGTGTAGTTTTAGGCTGATCCACCACCTTTCTCATGATCATCCTCACCCCATCAGGTAAGATCTTACATAGAGCGTGACGGACAGCTCTGTGGTCTTGCCTGTGTTGGTGAAGAGGTTGGATTGGAAAAAACTGATTCTGTGGATAGGTGTGCTTTATACATATAATAAGTTGAGATCAGGAGTATCTGTAATTGTCACTGATTGTGTGGCACACAGACAAACTGTAGAGGATCAAATACTTATTTCAGCACAAAAATCCTTCATTTCTGTGATCGGAGCAAATTTACAAATCCAATAATTATTTCCCCCACTGTAAATAAACTAGTCTTGGTCACATCACATGCTATGCTTTCAAGCTTTCCTGCTTTTCTTTCAGCCTCGATAATAATTAATCCTTATTGGTTAATTATTTGCAGGGCAGTATAAACTCTGTCAAAGGTGGCAGAGGTGAGAAGGTAAGTAAACCTGTCCTTCACAACTCTGCATGAGCATCATCTTAACCCAGATACATGTTTGTCTGTGTATTGTGCATATTTTATATGCATGTAGACAAAATGTTCTAATCTGCTCCTTCAGATCTATTTTATTCAAGTCTTTCTTGCTATCTCGCTTTTTGGCTTTGCCTTTTTTTCTATATGTTTTTTCCTGGGAGTGTCTAGGAACGTGCTCATACATCTCTTATTGTCAGAGTAACAGATGTATGAATTATAGGACAGGTTACCACAGAGGATATGTAGCAGGGAGCCAGTGCAGACGCCCACCCAGTCTGCACAAATCACAGCCTCTGTGCTGCCTTCCAGTGCCAGCCGGGAGTCCCACGGTGTAATTTATTCCCTGAAACAAACTTCTCGGTATTCACCACTCACACTGCACTGAAAGGGACACTTAAAAATGCCCAAGAGATCTAAAAGACGAGAAGTGTTATCCTGATAGTTTTGAGAACACACCTGTAAATTCTTCTGGATAATACAGGTGCACTACAGGGGGGCAGTGCAGTCAGAGGGACAGCAAAAGTCATTTAGTGATATATTTATTTGACTTTTCTACTTGTTATAGCTGAAAAAAAGAAAAACTTGCAGGTTTGATAAAACGCGCATTAAATCGAACTTTAATGCGCCTTGCTGCTTTTTCTGTTTCTTACTGCGCAAGCATCTGTCTTCACTTTCTCCATGTGAAGGCTGCAATTTGCTGCTTTTCGAAACCTGATGCAAACACGTGACGTAAACTGACTTTAAGCTGCGGTTCAAAGTGGCTGAGCTGGTCACCGAGTCTCCCTGAGCACGTGGCGGGGGAGCAAAATCAAAACTGGTTTAATTGCTTCAAATCGCATCTTTAGAACAAACAGCTCCACGTGCAGCACTCTTCTTATGGATAATGTCTTTTTGCCATGGGGTGCAGCAGAACAGGAGTCCCTTTTGCTGATCTAAACAACGTGTGCTAATATGATTGAAATAATTAAAGGGCAACCTCCTGTGACTTGTAAAGTGGTTCATGAAGCAGAGGGAAGTCTTGCGGTGGGTGAGACCTCATGGTACCGTGTAATTTAACAGCCATTACTTTTTGCTCAGACGAGGGATTCCTTGGCACAGAAGATGACATCAGTGTACAAACCAAAAGTGTGATGCTCTGAGGACAATGGGAAGCCATTGTTCCTTGAGTCTTTGGTCGAATGTGCGACCAAACCATAGCGGGTCTTGGTGAAGCTGTAAGGATATTCTGGCTCCCGAACCTTTACTCAAAAGTGTTTTGTTTGTCTCGGTTTATGTGAGTCTTTGTGTTCTGTGTATAACTTTAACTTTACTGTGTGTGCAGTGATAATACATCTCCTGTTCTTTGTGTTTAATTGACTGTCCATCCATCGGGTACTAAACCATGTTCTGTGATACTGCTGGGTTGATTTTTTTGACAGCACGTCACCCCCGCCTGTCCCGGCCCCCCTGCATGCCTTACTGTGACTGAACTATAGACGTTAACGCTTGTTTTGTATTCACAGGGTGATAGAGGCAGCATAGGGTTGACAGGTCCTCCTGGACAAAAAGGAGAGAAGGTGTGAAGCTGGAGACCTGGAGAACTTTTGACTTTTAGAGTTTTAAACGGCTCCAAACTGGTACTGATTGTGTGTTTTCAACCATCTCACAGGGAGTTGGTGGAATCCCAGGCATTGATGGTTTAAGTGGAGACAAAGGCGACACAGTAAGAAGCAAACTTATACAGCTATGGTGTTATTTTTATACCGTATATCAAAATTTAAAGTATTAAATATATATGCATATTTAAAAAAAATAAAAAGATGTTTAGAAAAAGGCATTTACTGATTTTTTTCCATGAAATAACAGGTGTTCTTAATGGTGTATTTATATTTTATTCATCATTTCCAAGAGTCCAAACAAAACAGTTTTTGTTTGGACTCTTGGAAATGATTTTTTTCACAGTATTTTTTCTCAATACTCATTATATCATCCCTTGTTTATTTTGCCAAGCAATTCCTACCAGGATAAGGAACTGGTAGTTTCATAAAACATATTTTCCAACTCTTCTTCCTGTTTTAACTTTATTGTATTTTATTTATCAGATTTTATGAGGATAAAATATAAAAACAAAAGCAGTTGTTTTTTTATTTTATCTTCATAAAAGCTGATAGATAAACGTTTCACTATTTCTTTCCATTATATTTCAAAAGTAGATGAGGATTCTATGTGACAGTTTTCTGTTTTATTTTGAAATAATGTCTTATTGGCATGTATTTATAACACTATTTGGTAAAACTGTAACAATTATAAATTTTTCAAAGAACTCGTCTAACTTTCTGACCTTTGTTTTCTATTTCTTTTCAAAACGCAGACGTTGTGACTGTGCAAATGTTTTTTTTTTTCATAATCAGGGTGAAGCAGGACTGGCTGGTGATCCAGGGCTACCAGGTCCAGCTGGACTGAGGGTGAGTGAATGTGGTTTACCAGCTTTTAATCCATTCACGAGCGACTGCACGAGCACGTGCAGTTTTGAAAAGGTCTTAAAGAAATTTCAGGCCATATAAAAAACGGAAAAAAAAAACTTAAGCTATTCTGGTTTTGGCATCAAACTCAGAGAGGCACTTGTTCTGTTAAGTGAGTGTACATAAGTTTTTTTTGAACAATTTCCTCTCAAGCTGGTATTGATTTTTTGTGAAAAAGGGGGTAGCCAGTTTGGGTGACTTTCTCTTGGATGAAGCTGCAGCATCTGGTGAGGGAGTCAGGCAGATGGGAGTATGGGTGCGGGCTCAAGCTGGGCCACTGGCCTGTGACACACTGCCCAAGACTGAAGCGAACGAGCATCACCACACAGCACAGGATATACGAGATTATTAAAAAAACAGTGAACACCTCCTGGGACTGGCTCAATTCATAAATAAACATTTTTACTGCTACTTCAAAGCTTTACTAACTTTGAGGCTGGACTATATATTTTGTTACTATCAGGCTGCTCTACAGTGTTGGGAATACGTTACTCAATGAGAGTAAAGTATTGTGAATACTTTGTATTACTTAATATATTATCATGCTTTTTTACAACCACATGAATGTACTGTTGCTGTGTGATTTATTACTATTACTGAAGGTTACTCACCATACCAATAGCAACTAGATTTTTAAATCTTAATATCAAGTGAGTAACAGTAGGGTGGACATTAGGTAAGGCTGCACTTTTTGCAGCGATCTCGTATAGAAAACTATTCAGCGCGTATATAAAACAGGTCCCTTTACTCCATCATCCAAGTCCAGTATTAGATTTAAAGGTCTTTACTTACATACAAAGTTCTGAATGAGGGTCCCATGGACCTCAAGGACCTCATAGTATCATATTATCCCAACAGAGCACTTCGTCTGTGGGCTTACGTGCAGTTCCCAGAGATCTCAAAAGTAAGTAGAGCTATCAGGCTCCTCTGTGGAACCAGCTCTCAGTTCAGGAGACAGACGCTCTGTCTTCTATTAAGATTTGGCTTCAAACCTTCCTTTCTGATAAAGCTTATCATTAGAGCTTTATCAAAAATGAAGGAAGAAGGTTTGACCCTGAACCATCTGTTCGTTATGGTAATATAGGCTCAGTTTGCCTGGGGACTCCAGTAGAGATGGACCGATCCAATATTACGTATTGGTATCAGTCCGATACTGACCCAAATTACTGGATCGGATATCGGCGAGAAATAAAAA